CTTCCTTCCTCAACTCTAGCACAGGACAAAACCGTTCTGCGTTTTGGGGCCAGGCGAAGTACATCCAGGCACCTTCAAAAAAACGTCATTCAAACTGACAACCAACTGCTCACTGATATCTCTTCGTATGGTGGCGAAACGTTTGCAAGCCAATTGCCGAGCTCGGCGAACAGATCAACAGCCACCTGATCAACAACCAATGACAAAGCATTCCTATATTTCGTCAGTCGCTTGACAGTCATCCTTCCCTCTGCTTAGAAGGAAACGATTGTCACGCCAATCTGCGAAACTTGTGATCGACTATCGCCCGGCAGCCACATACCTATTAACCTCACTAGGGTACTGTGCAAGGTGATGGAACGCACTCTGACGTGGGCCATGCTAGATCACCTCACTTCCAACAACTTGATATTCCCAGTTCAACATGGATTCCCCCAAACCGTTCTTAATTGACGAACATGCTCATATTTGTGGACAGCTTGACCCAAGCTAAGGAAGAGAGACTCATCGGATATCATGTTTTTCGACTTCTCAAAAGCATTCGATCGAGTTCCATACGTCTCACTGCCCCGTAAACCAGAGTCTTTCAGGAATCGAGTAGAAATTCTACGCTGGATTGGGGCTTTCCTATTAGACAAAACATTTTGAGTGAAACTAGGCTCGTTTTCTTTTTCTCCCCGCCGGTCTCCATTGAAGTTCTTCAAGGCCTTGAGACCTATTTCTGATTTCGATCAACGTTAACGACGTTCTCTCAAGTTCGTGTATACTTTTTGGAAGCGACTTGAAATCCTAGAGTTCAAACGCCTGTGCCCTTCAAGCGGGTGTAGGTGCTAGAAAGCAGTGATCGTTGGACTGGCACTTTCACCTGAATGACGAAAACTGCGTCCATACGGCATTCGGAGAAGACTCAGCGAACGTCTTTGTCGTGCATGATGAGAATGAACCAGAAGACTTGACGACTGCTGCTTTGGACTCCACTGTGAAGACGACGTACTGTCTCATTTCAGTACGTCCCTGGGGCTGCGAGCATGCTAATCTGGTACCCTCCACTTCTGAGGTATGTCAAGGCTGTCCGGTATCCGATGCGACGTGGTTTCCTTACGGAGCTGTAGGCTATTGTCTGAAGTTGATATCCTTGACATGACCGTGCTTCTGATCTTATTTGTGCCTCCCGTTTGACATATTCGACCTTGTGTCCACCGTAGAGACCATACCCCATATCCTTGAATCAGTGGCCTATGTGTGACTTGTGGCGTCCCTTCTACCGCCCCCTTTCTTAACTTCCCGGATATCAGTAGAACGATCCGCATGGACCTGTGACTGTAAACTGAAGGGTTCGAGGCGCTGGTGACACGTTGCAGGCTGGATTCACCAAATTGGACTAAAGTGAGAGGGCTACCAGTGCCGGACGCCAGGAGCTAAATAGCCGCTGCGTGGCGTAAGCTACTTCCGGTCTCCGGTTTGGCTGTAACTGTGGCGATCACGAAATCGTCAGAACGTAGTGTTCTCGTGAACGCATCAGAGCCATTTGCGGTTGCTCCGTTACAAATGGTATTGAGGGGTTGGTCCAAGAGTTGAAGGTCATTAATCCAATCGAGGCCCAAGAGATCAAGGCCTGTACAGTTCGTGAGGTAGCAACAATCAAACAACAATCGTTCAGCTGTAGCGCCCTTCCGGTGCCTAGCTGCCACGCCACCCGAAGGAAGCACGAAAGCTGGGATACTGTCAGGTTGCCCAAGCCTAGACAGTGGAAGTCAAGTTCAAATCACGGACCTTCCGGTCAGTAAATTCGCGCTCTAACCACTTGAGCCATCTCGTGAGGTAGCAAGTACCATTGAGATGAATCCCCTTGAACATTACGCAACAATTCAGCTTCCTGGTCAGTCCGAAGCTTTCACTAGATGCATTACGAACACTACACTTTGTGTGTTCCACTAATGGCCTTCCAATTACGTCCCAGGTTTGCTTGTGCGAACTCCTAGAGTTGCCTCTGCAACATTCTTCTTTGTGACCCTTTCGACTGTACTTACCGTTCCTGTGGTTACGGTAGGGACAGTGGCGTGAATAGCGCTATTCTTCTCAAAACCAACAGGGCTTGGAGGTTTTCATGAAGTTCGTTCAGAATTTGATTACCTTTTGGAAGTTACTTTACATACCATACCAGGCTGAGAGAATTCGGAATGTTAAATCATCGCAGCATCAGCCTTGAGATTGATAAGATGTTGGCACTCGGTGGTTCTGCAGCGAAGCGTCAACTCTGGATCCTGTTCAATTCGATTCAGTAGCCGGGTACGAATACCTGCATCATGTGGCGGTTGAAGACCAGNTTGAAGACCAGCCACGAAGATGAGGCACTTGAATTGATCCTTGGCCATGGAGCTGAGCTGAAAGCGCTCGCATTCTATGTTGATCACACCTGCATAAGTGATGAAACCCACGGTATCCCTTTTGGTGATCTTGAGACACTGATATCGAATATTGAACAAGAAGCTTTGCTCACCGAATATTTGGGCCAGGATTTTGACAGCATCTGTGAAACCAACGTCACGAGGTAGTTTGAGGATTATGAGATTTGTGAACCGATCGTGTTCAGCTGTCCCCAGTTTCCGCAGCAACAGTCGAACTTTCCATGCATCAGACTGAGCAAAGTCGGTTTGAAACATGTCTTCACATTTCTTGAACCAACTTTCAAAAGTTCGGATGCAATTCGGATTCGGCATCAAAATCGAACTCAGTAATCGAGCTGGCAGCAGCATCTGTGGGAGCAGACGGAGGCTCAACCGTTTTTGTCAGAGATTTAACAAGCCTCATTTGTGCTTCTTCGAACTTCTTCTGTTGTTGCTGTAGAATTATTTGAAGTTGCTCTGCCGAAATTGTCATCGTGGGTTCTGGTTGTCGCCAGTTGTTGGGTCTTGCTGAACGGTAGTGCAACTCTGTATCGGTCCCTCGGCTTCCTGTTCCGCCCACTATGGTATGTCAAAAGGCACGGTAGCTCTACACAGCCCTATATGGAGACAAAGGACAATTATTACGGCTGTATTGATAGGGTAATCACAGAGTGTTCCACAAGGTCGTTCTAGAATCTCCGTGAGGGGGCGAGAAGCGTTGAGTCAAAGATGCTCAATCCGACTGAGCAGAGTTGCACGACCGTTCAACATGACACAATACGGTCATCTTTGTGCCGAGTGGAATCGACCGAGAGGTGCACTTGGTAACGAACCATGATAATATTAACCGGCACACTGAGTCGGGTCCACCACTTCCGTCTCCTTGGAAGGGGACCCCTGGACTCGACTCACCAAAGTTTAATGACAGCACAATAGCGCAGTCAGTGACGTTCGCTCATCAAAGCTTTCGGCTCCAATACTTGGGTGTTTCTCCACCCTCTCCCACTTTCCAGTGATTGAAACTGTAACAGCTGGAACCAATGCACCCATGGTACATGGTTTAAATCTGACATTTTTTATCGATATACACGCCCGTTTTCTGTGTCTGGCCGGTCGGACTGGCTGTAACTTCCCGGCGCAGAATTGTATGGAATGAGCGAACTCTAACTACCGCACGACCTATACACTCTTGTATGTGCGTTTACTTGTATACAGGCTACAGCCACTGAGAGACAAAATCTTTGTACAACACTCGGACACCATGATAAATATGTGAGTTAGCAATAAAATACTTGCATCCCACACTGCCACCAATTGTGATGGTGGTGGCAACGGTGATGGTCGTGATTCCATCGGTGAACCTTGTGCTTTATTTTTTTCGTCGATTACAGCTGGCCCAATGAGGATATCCAGAATGCACTCTATCCTCCGATCTTCTGGATCTTCTTGGTTAACCTCTCTTGTCTGTGCGGTAAGTTCCCCACTTCTCTTTACAGTACTTCCATATCTGTTTTCAGCCTGCATCTACACATGCCACGGTTTCCGCATCGCTCATTGTGAGTTGATTCGTTTCGCCTAGTTAATCTCACTATTCGTTTCAGTCGCCCAAAGTACATTTGTTTGTCAATGGCGAGTTTGTCCAGTCACGCACGCACGACTGGCTTCCTGTACACAATCCGGTTCGTGCTGTTTCACTACCTCTTCCTAATATCTCGTGGACATTTAGGCAACCAATGAATTGGTGTGTCAGGTTCCTAAGGCAACCGCCGAAGAGATGAATGCTGCTGTGCAAGCTGCGAAGGATGCGTTCAAAGCATGGTCCCAGACGACTGTGCTCACGAGGCAACAAATCCTGCTGCGGTTCCAGCAACTGATCAAAGAAAATATGGTTGGTATCTTTTAGTTCCGATTGTTGTGTAGAATTTTGCTCGTTCCGCCAACCATTCCGAGTAATCAGCCTATAAGTAACAGGATTACCAGGACACTTATCAATTCAGTAGGTTCGTTCCCTGACCAGTTGAATGTATAATTAACCTCTACTTGTGTCGAGAATTGCTTCTTCCGGTTTCGTCTGCGATCCTCGAGGACAAAAAGGACCGGTTAGAAATAATGTGCAAGTCATCCGCAATCACTGGGCGTTCTCTGAAGATGTTCCACTAAGTGCGTAGTTTTCGAGGAGCATGTTCCAATATCAAGACATGTACCACTACACACTACGGAAGGTTGAGGCATAGCGTCAGCTTTCGTGATATTTCTTACACTCCAGTTTTTATTCTTGTCAAAAGACGTCATTTCCTAGTGCATGTGGACGTGGTGGAAGCACAAAGCCCATCGCGAAGGAATTTAACTCACAGGCAGATGCACTTTCGCTGTTCTACCAAATGCGGTGGGTTCAACCTAATCGTTAACTTGAAACATCATTCCACCCAACCGTAGTACAAGACATCAGCTTATTTCTCGCATTTCACCAAATTTTTCATTAAGGCTTATGTCTCGCATTTGTGCATTCATTGTAACCCATATAACAGTTGAGTGCAAGGAGAACTATCTATTATTGGAAACTCTGTGTAGGGAAGCCGTGGACCTCCTGTACCTTGGAGGGTTAGTAGTTTCAAAACTTGACTGTTGTTTTTCAGTCCGATTTGGCATCTATCATCACAGCGGAGCAAGGGAAAACGCTTCCGGACGCTGAAGGGGATGTGGCACGTGGTCTCCAGGTGGTCGAACATTGTTGCAGCGTTCCATCTTTGCAATTAGGGGAAACATTGGCCAACATTTCCAGAGATATGGATTTGCACAGCTATCGAGTCCCACTTGGCGTGACTGCTGGCATCACTCCGTTTAACTTTCCCGCAATGATACCTTTGTGGGTGAGTTGAGCAGCAGATACTGTTATCTTTTCAAGCGTATGATAACACCCTGTTGCAAGTTATCTAAGATTTATTGTATCGTTTTGGTATTTCATGGTCTCCGGAGCTGGTGAGCTCCGTGATTGTATGGTATCTCCGCCGCCACTTACTATTGCTTTAGCCCATTGCTCCCCTCTGTTGTGTTGAGCTTGGTGTATCAAAGCAGCAAGAACATTAGAGCATCTCACTCTCCTGCTTCCCTTCCAAGCGATGAACCGAGTGGGTGCACTCGGAGAGGTCAGCTAATGGCTTCGCAGTAATTCATGAAAACCACAAGCAGCAAGCTACTTGTTAGTTGTCTCCCATCCGGATTTGGACTTTCAGATGGAACGCGTCCATTTTCTATAGGTACCGGCAGATATGGCTGAATGACATTCATTCGACCAGCCTATTTATAGCCTTTTGAGCATTACTATCCCTTCGACGTCCTCTTACCTCTAAACATTACTCCTAGGAGCACTACATAACTCATACTTTAAGGGTAGTGTCTGCGGCCTCCAATATACGTCCCATTTCCCCCACTTTTAATGCCGGTGAACGAAATCACCTTAGCTAACAACCTTTGTACAAACTGCGCACAGTTTACGGTTGTTGATGATGCATCCAATGAATTTGCCAATCAAAGCCTCACACCATTTGAATAGCCGAAAACTGCTAGGTCGCTTCAGGTTGTTTTTTCCCCCGATGCTATCCGTTGAATTCACTTACCCACATTGATCGCATTTTTTTCCTTTCACATGTTGCTTTTCGTTGGTGGTTTCGTTTGCTCATCTGATAATCTTTTTGGAGAGATCTGTTTGAACACCGCGGCTCCCTATTATAATCAAAGGAAGGATGCTGCGTTTGTTTTTTTCAGACAGAGGCATATGTATTCGTCGTTCGACTATCCTGATGAGCACCCTCATCCCTGAGCTATACTCTGATAACCTCTCGCACTTTTCATCACCCTTCATAGATGTTTCCAGTTTCGATCGCTTGTGGAAACACCATGGTCCTCAAGCCTTCGGAGCGTGACCCGTCCACAGTGATGCTGTTGATGAAGCTGTTGCAGCAAGCAGGCCTTCCGGCTGGTGTGGTCAACGTTATTCACGGTGCAGAGGAGGCAGTTCAATTTATATGCAAACATCCAGACATTCGAGCGATTTCCTTCGTTGGTTCGGATGCAGCCGGACGGTATATTTACGAGACAGGATGCCAGCATGGCAAACGCGTCCAGTGCAATATGGTTAGTTGCCTGGCCTGCTTTAAAAATTTCCTGTTTGTTATGCATTATAGTTCCCCTCGTCAGCACTTCCACTGTTGACGAAAGCTATCCTGGAAGAGTTATTCTCACGTGCTCTTAAGCCTTCCTGACGGCACCTCACTACAAATATATTTAGGTGTATGCGCCTGCACAAATAAAGTCGGCCGTGACTTCTCTCCTCTGGATGAACCAGCTCAATGGATCGATAAACTCGGGTTTCCTCTGACGGGGTTAAACTGCACTTCAATGGTTTCTTCTGAGAGGAGCAACCTCATGAGGATCTGACAGTGTTTTCCCATCATAGCTCCAGTCGAGCTCAGGGATGATCGCGTGAATCATATTGTCCCTAGCGATTTGCACTTTTTAAAAACCCTCAGATTCGTCATACTTAATAACTGGTTGCCTGATTGTCCTATTCGAACTTGTCATCAAGCGACTTGTTTCCACAGATATTTTGTGGACAAGTCACACAGAAGAGTGCTGACGCTTGTGTGTTGGCTAAAAGCCGTCTTGGTAAGTCGAAATGGCTCTCAAGACTTATCGTTGCTGTGGTAACTGAAGCTTCATTTAAAATCTAAACGTGTCCCATGCTGAGTGAGTGACGTCGCGAAAACAACTACCCGCTTCCGGGGCGCTCATCTTCGAAATTTTGCCGAACAAACGACTCCTTTCACCACCAATACAATCGATATGCCAAAATTATTGTTTGACCGCATTTCCTGTGACCGCTAGTCGGATAGCCAGATGTTTTCTCACTAGTTCATTTTAATAATACACCATAACGACCTCATCTTATCACCCACAGGTCTCGTTTCTCCACAATTAGAGATCATCAGTGTCCAGCCGGTCAAGTAGGCTTTTCCCTTGACATACTCAATCAGCTATCAGTTTTGACGGTGCGTTGAACACTCCATCTTTAAGCCATGGATGGCTAATTACCTGCGTGTGTTTATTTAGATCAACATTACACATGCTTGACCACTCGCCCGAGGAGCTCCCAGTTTCTTCTCTTAGTAGACTCTAGCAATATTCCCTAAAGAGATGTCTACGAGGAAAGATCACCAACCATGCAATGCCAGTTATCCACCCTCCTCATACAACCATGAATTGCCTACCATTTCTCGCGATGGTCTTCCCAGGGGAGACGACACTTCTGAAATTCTGACAGTGTAGACATTCCCGGATGCTTGTACTGGCCTCTAAACCTATCATTTTCTGCATAAAGTTTGAGCACTACTGCCAACACTGGCGTTGCTGTCTGGCTGTAGTCCGTACTTTCTAGCGCAGATACTGCTTTGTTCTACCCACCTAAAATTTCACAGCAACATAGCCTGAGTTCGACTGTCTGACTAACTTTTGAATCTTGTGTAGGAATCAATCACGTATCGGCTGCACTGACATTAATCCACATCTTTTTCAATCCCTTAAGAACTTCTTGAGTGGATACGAACACAGTGCAACAAGTTGATAGGTCTGTGCGGGATAAGAAGCCAATCTTTTCACGTCTCACATGGTGTAACAGTCTCGGGCCAGATGTTTTCGGATCTTGGTGTCACCATTAAGTTCGTTTAACAATGTGGTACAGCTCTTTTAGGTGTGCTCAGCCGGTGTTTGGACACCGTTCCGTTGAAGCAGAAACGATTTGAGTGGGCAAACGCGTAGGCAGTAAAAGTATCGACGGCAATCCAAACGGCTATCCTGGAAACTCTTCACTTCATGGCGTCTGAGGTGTTAAAGAGGCTGGGCAGTCGGCAGTGAGGGTGGTCCTTAGTCGTCCGAAGTTAGTAGGCAATTATGAGGTCATCTCTCGGCCTCTCATTGGCCGCAGAATACATTTGGAGACTCTCATTCTCTAACTGGCTTGATGGCGCAGCATTCGATAAATTCCGCCACTTTCTGATCACCTTTGGACCATGGGCCTCATACTTTAACGTCTTATTTAGCGTCCAACCTGGTACAAGGCCTGGCATTGGCGGTTCTCCCGGTGTCCTGAGAGTGCCGTAGGTTTGTGTTTGTATTAGGAGAACCAGCTCCGAATGTAGCTGGACTGTACAACTGCCAATGGAATAACCGTTTTCGTTGGGACAGATTTAATTGTTTGTTCTTCAATTGTCCTAGACGTTGTCATTTTTTGGCCCGTCTAGAGCTTTCCACGTGGACTTTGTAAGCAACCAGCTTTCGGCTGCACATGACACTTCTGTAGGTGTCAGTGTTCAGTAGACCAGCCAATTCGCACTTTCATTGGCTTTCTGGTTTGGCTAAGCCCATCAGGCTATCAATCGACCATCTAGATTCGGGTTCACGGTATTAAGAAGGCATGAAAAACTGTGATCCATAACAGCTTGCTGTGTCCGGTATCTTCTGACACTGGGGAGTAGTGCCTGGATCCTGTTGTATGATCAATCCTAGGTCCCACGCCGTTTGTGTTGATCAGCTGGAAACTGTATCTAGGTTTGCGTTTACAAGCACGTGTTCAACAGGAATACGGAACACTATCCATATCTACAGTTCATCGGCAAACACTTGACATTGAGACGCCCGGTGAATCAGGTAGTTCGTTCAGAGAGGCGAGGAGGAGAAGTGGTTGCAGTACCGACCCGCGTGGTACTCCGCATGGGTTAGAGAGTGTCCCACTGATCCGAACCGTACTGGTTCTGTCCTCTACGTAAAAGCGGAGCCAATCTGGAGTGAACCTTGGGTGTCGTACGCAGCCAGTCTTTGCGGCATGATTTTATGATATACGTGATAGATATCAATCTTGTATCCTTCCTCACGGTCTTTAGGCCGTGCGTCTTGTGTCAGTAGAAAGTTGGCAAGACAGGGCCTCCGCTTCCGGTAGCAGTGCTACACATGTGACAGCATATTGCCGCGTTCGAATTATGATCGCGATAGACTCCACAACTTTGTATAGGATTCGAAGGGGAGTTGTTGTCCTGTAATTTGTGCGGTCCAACCCTGTGCCGCCTTTATGAACCAGGTTCACTGCTGTAATCTTTCATTGTTTAGGGACAAAGGAAGTATTAAGTAGCTTCTGGTAGCAGTTTGTCAGTGGCTTCACTAGATCTTTTGCCAAGCAAAAGACTTCTGGGTCTGATGCTGTCGATGCTGGCAACAGAGTTTTTTTGGATTGTTTTACGTTAGTGTTCGACATTACCTGTGGGGAATTTCGAATGATAGAGGTCTTCCTCAGTGGGGATGTGTTTATGTTCAGATGTCACAACAGTGAGTGGGTTGATGCAGATGGAACTGTACTGTTTATGTCAGGGTTCCAACCGTTTCTGAGGATGCTGACATACTTGTGTGGGAACTTACGTTCTGCTGTAAATTTGGCCACCAGTGAAGCCTGACGGTTCCCCTTGTGTTAGAGAAAGACTGGTTCCGGAAACTTGTAGCCCTACCATCGTACCTCCCAAGGGTTCTTTTTCTAGCGTCACCAAGTATCCTCCCGTTTGGCAAGCCATTTTTCAGTCCAGCTTCTTATCCAGTTATGTGAATTGGTGGTGGAGTTATGGGTTATCGTGGTTCGCCAACAGCTGATTCCTCGTTATCCATTCAAAGGGTGCTAAAAATCACGGAGTCATTTTACCAGATGCCGCTCGTTCAAACACCCTAACTCAGTTGGTCGGCGCTGCTTTTGGTGCCGCTGGTCAACGGTGTATGGCTCTCTCAACGGCAGTGTTTGTTGGTTCAGCGCGGGACTGGTTGCCGGAACTGGTTCAGCGAACCAAAAAGCTCCGTGTAAATGCCGGTATGTCTACGTCATCACTAGTTTTATTTCATATCCATTTTAATGTATTGTGTTGAATTCTAGTGGCAGCAACTTTAATGACGTTTAGTACACCATTGCCAATTGTAACAGCCATCCGGGATTCCCTGAAGCTTCTATCCTGCGTTTTCCCCCTTCAGCTTCAATTCTTTCTTGTATATCCCCTTCGAATTCAACTTGTTTGGATTTTTATCATCATCATCGACAGCATGGCATCAGTGTTCAACACCGATGCTTCACGGCCGGAAGACCATAATTTATCTGAAAGCCTTATTGTAAAGAAAAGAGTAAAAGTGGACGGGGGCGTATTGCTAGCTTATCACAATCATTCCGAGATGCCTATACCTCCAGAAATTCACTCAGGTCGTGNTGCCTATACCTCCAGACATTCACTCAGGTTGTGCTGGACGATGCGTTTCAACTAGTTGGGCCTTTTATTCTACCAATACACCACTTACCATCTTTGTAAACTCCTCCACGTCGTTTGACATCTTGCAGACAACGAAGGTGCCCGTTAAGTGGTCAGTCTGGTGCTCCGTGCCTCAGTTTTTTTTACTGTGTTCACACACACACTGCAGCCTTCTTACCGATACTCCCATATCAGCTTCATGTTTTACTGAGTTTAGGATGCTTTCATTTCCCGAATAACCAACCTTTGGAATGAAACATTGCTCTTTCGTATCTCTTGCTTCTGCTGTCATATATGTTGCAGAGCAGTGTAGACAGTGAAACTGTTGATCACCTCATGAGTGAATACTGATGCTAACGATGTTTGTCTAGTACTTGTTGGCCTTACTGCATTTTTTCTGATGGGAAACTAAAAGGACACTGTTCTATCCCTTCCAGGTAAGTCTGTTGGTATTGTGGTTTTAGACGGGCAGTACCATACGGGTAGGATCTGTTTATCTTCCAGAGACACAGATCACTCTGTCACTTCGTCCGGTCAAGAACACAAACCATCATAAACCGAGTGTCATGCCTTCACTTGTATGCGTTTTCCTCAAAATAGCTGCGTTATCAGTCTCGTTATTCATGTGGCCATCTAACCTGTCGTCGTCTTCATGGCCTCATCAAAATTTCCGAGCATAGTTTACTTTTTCAACCAATATCTTAGTGATAAACCCCCAAGCTGACTCACAGGTGCTGGAGCTTGCTAGATGTCGCCCAGCCGCACATACTTTCCATGTGTGGATAAAAAGGCGAGCCCAGGGAAACTAAAGACTAGTTAATATCCCCTTGATGGTTCACCACTGCTAACTAAAATATCGCCGTTTGGAACAACCAATTTTTGTCCGCACTTTCATAACCGAATCTGAACTGTACGTCGTTGTATCCAGTTAAGACCTGCACGTGCAGTTTTAGGACACAATCACTTTTAAATGACTTTAAGTCCCACATCCTTGACTTGGTTGCCAAATTTCAGTGCTGTAATGATCCCGCGGACTGCAATGATTGGAACTTCGGTCCACAAAGTGCAACCATTCCACGAAGGCCAAAGGGGAGCAGTGTGGCCCCGTCTGGGGAAAAAGGCCTACTGTCTTCTGCGATAGGTGTGTAAAGGCAGTAATTTGTTTCCCCATGTAATCAACATGTCCCTATTCGTTGAAGAAGTGAAATTGCCTGCCCCCGAGGAAGGACGGGTTCGGCCCTAAAGCTCGCACACCTTAATGACCGAATGGTTGACCGTAACCGCCGGCGCATTATTGAATACGGTCGAATTCCCTTTAAAACTAGTCTGGTACTACTGGAAGGGCACCTGTGCGCAGCTGCGTTGGAAGTAACGCTGGGTCGCGTTGCCGGCGCATTATTGAATACGGTCGAATTCCTTTTAAAACTAGTCTGGTACTGCTGGAAGGGCACCTGTGCGAATCTGCGTTGGAAGTAATGCTGGGTCGCGTTATGGCAGTATCCCAGCCCTCCTACACCCATGAATCGCACATGCACAAATAAACTCATGCCCCATCGGCCGTCGCGTGGTGCCATCAGCCGGGTCGCCTTACTTACTGCATACATCAGGACGGGTAAGCGAAAACAGGCTACTACTGACGCCTTCCTTACTTCTCTTTCATATGCCCTTTCTTGCATCTCCTCCTACTCGATTAATAACTCTATTGTTGGCTCATCAGTTAAGATTAATAACTCCGTTCGTCCGGCGTCAGTTTTGTCATCAACATCTGTGCGTCATCCGGCGCTGAAATCCTCATGTATCTCGAAATCAGTCTTCAAGCCTCGACGCCCAGTCCATCTAGCTGCTTTGAATGTTCGTATTCTGAAGCAGGCGGGACAACGCGCTACTCTTGCTCTCACACTGGACTCGCTTGAGAGTGATTTGTGCTTCGTATCATAAACAAAAGTTTAAGATGCAAGCACAATGGTTGAGATGGCTGCTCCGTCACTCTCCACTCGTTTCCCGCTGCGCACCTCTGGCGATCCAGAGACCGCTGCGGCAGGATGTGCACGGGTTGGTATCTTCCTAAATCACTAGGCGGAAGGATTATTCCTTGACTGGATACTCGTTGCAGTTCGTCAGGTAACGTATGTGAAGGAGTCTCACAAGCGGGAAGTTGGTCGCTGTCTGCTAGTCGTGGTTGTGGTCGTCGGAGGTTTGAATGCGGCGGGCTTAGCGCCTCTGACACTCAATTAAATGGTCCGCATGGATTAGGCTCAGCACGTACGGACAAATGAGTGCTACGGCTGTGTGCGGAATCCAGGCCGTTCCCAGGCACTATTAACTTCTAGAATAAATGAGGGTGTCTGGTCACGCACACACAGTGTGCCAACCACGAATCCAAACTGGTCACATCGCCATCAGTTACGGATGGCGCTAATCGGTACCTGACTGCCGCTGGAACAAACTTGTGGATTCCGGCCACGCACTCGTTCGGAGTAGCTTCTCCCTTCGTTTTCCAAGGTCGCCTAAGGTGGGGACAAATTGCTTAGCAACTGTGAGACTGGCAGATCCCGAAGTTATACGAATTTATCAGAATCGTATTATGCAGTCTCTTCCAATTGTTCTGCCGTCGGAAATGGACACGTCGTCCAACGAGATCAACACATCTTTACACACTGTTGGGAGTTTTTCCTGTGACATGTGACTACCAGGCTCGCCCAAGCAGTGGATGTCAGACAAAACAGTGGTACTGCTTGAACCTCCGAGAAATGTTGCCGCCGGTCTCCAGCATAATCCAACTTGACGAATTATCAGACACGTGCGCGTCGACCTGGTGGACACAGAAGTTGAAGGAAATTAAAGAAACCCAGAAAGCCGAGAATGCCCGGAGACTGTTTCAGTTGATTAGTGTGACCGACCTGAAATCACCTGTGAGCGAAGCCATCAAGGATCAGAGCAGCGCCACCAACTTGAATAAAGAACACCTCGGCTGCTGGGCCGAATACTTCGAACAATAATTCTCAAGTCCATCCACTGCCACTTATCTGGATTCTCTAACTGAACTTGAACTCCGGACGATAACCTTGAACACCATATGGCCTGGGAGGTTTATGACTGCCTATATTCCCTCAAGCGCCACTGAGATCCTGATCCGGATAACCACCCACCCGCACCGTTCAATGATGGAGGTGAAGTCCGTAATCAGCACTTGTCTAGTCTGTTTGTCTGCATTTGAGAAAGGGTGACTATCCCAGAAAACTTGGGGGTTGATGATGGTGATGATTTCACCATATAAAAAAAATTCTCAGCTGCTCCGTTAGCATGCTATTTTGAACTGTTCCCGTTTTTATCGGGTTTTACTGTTGTGATGATGTTAGCACATATGACGCTTCTTTTATTGGTATTAGGGCCCATCCAATTACATCCGAGATGATCGTCGGTGTCACTTAACACAAAAGACAGAATCGGTCAGAAGTTCTATTTCGCTTCAGATGGCTCATTTTTCAAGACGCATTTCCACTGGAATGTCCGTGGTTCGGGCCTAACCCCGGCATTTCGACTGCTCTTGTCTAGACGTGAACGCGAGTCGTCCACTAGTAGTAACAAAACCCTACGCTTCTAGTTTTTCACGGACACTTCGGAAATTGGATATATGGTCAGCTCCATAACTCGGACACCAAGTTTGTTCAAAAGGACTGGGCTAGTGAGGTTGCTACAATAAGGCTGACCCGTTATTCATATCGAGCATCATCTGGGGGGTGCATACTTCCGTACATCGACACTATGGTAAAAGAAGATAATACCTCACCTTCTTCACTTCCGTACATCGACACTATGGTAAAAGATAATACCTCACCTTCTTGCTCTTGTATCCGTGGATTTTTGTGTCCTATCTCTCGAGTATGCTCAAAATAACGGTCAGTCTCCGACTATTTGAAACCTTTCAAAAACCCCAAACAGTCTGTTTCCAGTATATGTATAGGTATCTTCAGGACCCTACCATTAAAATGGCTTGGCCACATAGTTCAACCTTTTGATATTGTACACTGCACCATGTTATTCCTGCCGTAACCCCTCAAATCCATTAAGAAAAAGAATTTCGTCCACTTCTGGAAACTCATTTTTAAGCACAATCACTGCGTTTCCACTAATGTACAGTCTCCCTGGGCGCCGTTTCGAATGATGCATTGGCTGTTCGAATTCTCTTGGCTGTGGTTGATTCGACTCTTGATTGGTTCGTCAGTAGTCTGTACCAAGTGGCAGGCTCTGGTGTGCTCCGGTTGTTCATCTACGTTGCTGACTTGTTGACTGGAGGACCTTGGAGTGTGCTCACCTTCAGTTGTATATTGTGAACCACTGAGGTGATAGGTCGGTAGGCCTTGAAGCTAATTTGAACACTTACTGGTTGATCCCACACTTGTCCAAAACCTGGTATCCGTCTGAGTGGAGCAGAGAAAATCAACAGAAGTATCACACAGCTTCACTGCGCAATTTCTGTCTCTGTTGAAAACCAAATTTGAGCAGTGTGTATGCTGCAATTCTGTTGGCAGTGTGCACAAGTTCCACCAAAGAAAGTTTGTTTCATTTGTAGTTATGACTGCAAATAACTCAGAGTCAGACAGAGTAGGAATGCACTAGAAGCGTGGAATTGGAAACATTTCGATTCCTCGGATCGCGCGACAGCACTCTAATACCCATAGATGAAGACCAATTGAGAATCAGAGGATAAAGAACCTTTACTTAGAATCAACCTAATAGAAGGTATAAGAGCCTCATGAAATCTACAGCCGTTTCTCTTAACCCGCAAAACGGTTATCAACGAAATCGTCTTGAACGCACGGAATTCAGTTCTGTGAGATAAAATTGGGGGTTCAGTGAATTACGAGCTATATACAGCTATCGTGTCTTGTAAAGCGTGATCCGGAAATCGTTTCTGGAGAGTAGTCTGACTGGGATTTTTTAAAATTCTTCATCTACCAAGCAACCCTAAAGAATACTCTCTGGTGAGTAACTGCTTTATTTGCAGTATAACGCTCCAGGTACTCCTGTGTCTAACTGATCATCCATGTCCTTTTAGGCACAGAACCTGGTACAGATCTGGGTCCAGTTATCAGTCCGCAGGCCAAACAACGCATCCATGATTTGATTGAGTCCGGTGTACAGGAGGGTGCTCAACTCATACTTGACGGACGGAACATTCGAGTGGAGGGATACGAGCGTGGTAACTTTGTGGGCCCCACCATTCTGACCAACGTCAAGCCCCAGATGCGTTGCTATAAGGAGGAGATTTTCGGTCCGGTGCTTTTGTGCATCGAGGTGAGTACGTATCTGACTCTGCCGTTTCACTTTCAACCGCTCGCAGTTTCTGTCTATCAACGATGTTGATGTCATCCCATGGATTTAATCGTAAACTGAAAAGCCTAGTAATACTATGTTTCTACATCATTCGTAGCCCCGTGGATGAGGATTGGAACAGTCTAGCACCCGGTAACGGGTGGTCGTGGATTATTTGCACTTGCGCAGGTCATGTTACCTAATCTGCTGTTGTTTGGATCCTTGAGTGACTACTTCCAAGGCCAATACCCATTTGATACTTGGGGTATCCTCCTCTGAACAGCCTCCATTATGCAGCTACTGAGAGCACTTTGGAGTTTCAAATGTGTGCTTCATTGTACAGAGAAATCCCGAACTACGCTACAGCTATTTACTGTTTTAGTAACCCGCTGCCGATTGTTGTTTTTTGATCGTGCTTCAACAAAATTGCCTGAGTGACAAGTTGAATGTACTGACTCTGTATTGGGTTGACGTTTTCAAACACTGAATGTTCTTGTATATCTGACTTGATTGTTTCATTATCTACGTGTGAGTTGGAGGCTACCAGTCACGTGTCCATCGGTTGTGCCTCCTCATGTTTTAGGATTGATGTCTCAGATTCCTTTTGCAAGCTCTCTCCGTCCCGTTTGACACAGTCTAGCACTAATTGTGTGGTTTTGCGACTTATCGAATAAAGGAATGGTTGCCATCTCAGTTTTGGTGACCAATCAGTTTCGTTTACGTAGTTCCCCTATCTGTATGGCCTGTTCATATTCTCTTATTTAATAGCTATAGGTGGTGCTGATAGTCTGAGGTTTCATGAGTGCACCCATTAGTTGTGAGTACCAGTTTACATGAATAAACGAAGTAAATTGCATCTTCCTTGAGTCAAAATTAGAATCTTTTTGGTCAAACTCACATTCTCAGTTAACCATACCCTTTAAATTGCTCATCGCGCTTTCTCTGGCTTGCTGATCGCTAGTGTCCGAACCACCGGTTCCAGTGCCTGAGGTGACCGTTAGTTTCTCGTTTGCCTCGCAAGAATCTCCCACAGTCAGATCGTGTGTTCAAACTGATCATTGCCGTTTTCATCATCTTGAATAGCCACTGAATACCCCACATCTTCCCCTCTTACCGTCTTGCTTGCTTAACCTGGTCAAATCAGGTCGATGATCTCGACGAAGCTATTGATCTGATCAACCAGAACCCCTACGGGAATGGAACAGCAATATTCACCACGAATGGAGCTGCAGCTCGCAAATTTACTCATTCCATCAACGTGGGCCAGGTCGGAATAAACGTGCCCATTCCCGTTCCTCTACCTATGTTTTCCTTTACCGGGTCACGTGGTTCGTTCTTGGGCGATACAAATTTCTACGGGAAATCGGTGAGTGCGTTGGTGAGCTTTTCCTAACGATACCCAATGCGGCAGTAGATGGACGCGCGCCATTACTTCATAGATTTCGAATCATAAAACATCCGTTTTCGCATCTTTCGAACATGGTACCGCTTGTCGGGCGAGCTTAAAGGGCTGACGCAAGGTTTTTTTGCATTGTTCTGTTTGTTCTATTGCTTATCACTTCGCACGTCTCAGTTGATTAAGGTCCGTTTGACAGTGGCTACGATTTCTGATTTTTGAACTGAAGAACCCTCGTAAAGAAATATCTGGGTGCTGTGATGGCGCGTTTACATTATTTCTCTACTGTGTCAGGGCACATCTACCCCCCCCCCCCAACGGTTTGCATATTACTCGTCAGCCAGAGGAGTGTACGGGCATAAAGAATCATTTAGCGGTGTTTGGAATAAACCGTCCTTAGCATTAAGTTATTGATTTGCACAAAAGCTGCTCGCCTCACAGGAGCTCCTGTTATAGTCCGATTTGAAAATACGCTGTCAGGAGTGCCATCGAAATTGATAATGGCAGAAGAACGTCTTCTGAAACAAAGGTGCTGTGGCTAATCTAGTCAGTCTCATCTTAAGCTGTGTCGAAATTTACCACTGTTACAGTTACCTCAGTAACTGTTCCCCCTCTTTTTTCAACTTCTTTTCCTTACACCAAAAAAATGCAGAGCTCGAGATAGCTCGGTGGTTAAGACGCGAAGGTACTGACTGGAAGCTCAGTGTTTCGAACTCAACGTCATCGCGGCTGCTCCTGTCTATAATTGGGCAGCTTGGCATTATCTCAGCCACTGTACATCCTTCGGGAGCTAGATGGCATTTTTTAGTTATTTATTGCCATTTGTAAAATGATCTACTTTTATCGACCTTTCTACAGTACTGCACAGCAACTTACAGGTCTTGTTCTCCAAATTTACAGGGTTTTCACTTCTACACTCAAGTGAAGACGGTCACTCAGTTGTGGCTATCAGAAACCGTCAAATCAACCGAATCGGCGACAGCAATGCCTGTCATGAAATAGCTTTTTTCTCTCCTTTTTCAAACTACTTTCTCCCTTGCTTCTCAGCTTTGTGCCTCATCTCTTTTGACTAACATGTTGCTTGATTTTGTACTCATTATTTTTCTACTGGTCGTTGTTTAATTTTAAATTGATTACTGCGTGATCTGTTCATTTTGTGGCATATTTTTCCCAGTATCCGTGTAGTGGTTTTTACGCTGGTCAAGACCTCGAGACCTTTCTGGAGAGAAAGTCTGTTTGGCTGAAACAAAGTAGCATCAAAAGACGCTAAGAAACGCATCAGTTGAGCATCTTGTCAACGTATCACACTGTAGACTCAGAATTGGCTTTCTGGGTCGTCTGTTTTGGCCTGCATTCTAGAGCCTTTCGATTGTGATTCTCGGCAACAGGTGAGACCACCAAAATTAGTCTGCCAGACCCGATTTTATGCTAACAAGAGCAATCCGTTCAGAAATTCAGACTGCCTTGCCCAAGCCGAGAAAATTGTTTCCCCTCTCGGATTAACACCTTGTCGATGGCCAGTTGACGGGGGATAAACCGATCCCTGTAGACTGCTGTCCGACTGCTCGCTGACTACAGTCAAATGGGATCGATAAAATTACTGACCGTTGTTTTCATGTTTTGTTTTACGCTATATAATATGCAAATGTACTAGTCTGTGGATGATCTTGCCGAAAAGTGGAACTTTCTCGCGTTGATTTACCTACGTGAATGTAGTTCGCCACAAATAGACTGGACTTTACCGTGGTGTGACGGTTTGTGTACCACCGTGACCCATTGAACTATACTGAGCGGTGCCCGTGTGACTCCCACGAAGTCCTTCACGTCAAACTGATCCGTGGCCAGATATCAGACAATCTCCTGGTCATTTAGGTTTGGGGCTGGAACGATCATGACGACTTGATCTTTAAAAATTGTAATGCACTTGGATTTTCCGGTTAGGCTTTTGATCCAAAGCCTTTGGTCGGGAACCCTATCGCCATCCAGGTTTGAGCTCCCCTACAATATCTCGGCCCACGTTAGGCCATGACACTTGCATCTAACAATACTCTTATACCACACTGGCTGTCTTGTGGTGTCATCGAATGGGTCGCGTTACTTGCTGCATCCTTTGCAAGCCCCATTTTGGTAACAACCTTAAACACCGAAATATATTTTCAAACCGCGATTGCCGGTCTACTTAGCTGCGTTTAATGTTTGAACACTAAGCCTTGAAGGGCTGCATCATGAGCTCAGTAGAAAGTAAGATTTTTTAATGAATTGTGGTGAACCTATATGAACATGACTGATTTCGGTTAAAGCACGTGGAAAAACACAACAGCAATGACAGCTCTGTTGTTTTATTATTTGCATCAAGCAAGAGATGTGGAAAAACCCGAGCTGGTCCCCCGTAAAACAGCCAAGTAGATTTCATTTCAATCTCCCCACTGAAGAGGCTATCCGTGCAGACTATCCTACCTATAAGGTCATGGAAGAAATTGTGTTATTTTTGCCTGTGGTTTGGATCCATTAGAGCCGCTTGATGACCGCAGACAATCGCCGAGTCAGTTCAAAGCCGACAGTTTCGAATCGAAGATATTTGTGAACGATGCTGCTGAGTATGGTATTACTTTTATCCGTACATGTGCTAGTATTTTCTTCGTTATAGCTTTAAAACGGCGTCGATTTCT